AGGACGTTCGAACCTTCGTCAGCAAGGAAATGAAAAATGTCTTGCCCAATTCCTACTCCTCCCTTTATTTGTCTTAATAGCTATAAAAGCATTATTCACCTGATTCACCATCGCGTCCAGCCTTACACAGGATGAGGATATCATTGGCCAGCAGTCGACCAACACGCGCGACCGTGTATGTCGTAAAAAATCACATTAGCTTTCATAAGTAAGAAACACCAACATCGGAACGCATGCAGGAAACAGGTTTAATTATCGCCCTCACTCTTCAAAACTCGTTAGCACAAGTCGTCTCCACTGTGAACGACAGTTGCCTCAACCAAACTACCAGCTTCTCCAATGCCACCGCTGACGGTCCAAATGTCTCTGACGCACTGAGCCTTCAGTTCAGTATTTGGTTAATTGTGCTTCTGAGTTTGACCTCACTCTTTGCCATTTGGTTTATTCTCTGCGGACTTTTCCGTCGCGCTGACGCCTACCGAACGCCAAACGCAGGACTTAGCGGCGGAGGGTGTGCTTTCGGAGATTTGGACGGCGCGGCATTCGGAGAGGGTGGAAGGAGTGGAAGCCTTTTCGGTGGCATGAACTTCGACGGAGATGTATAGAACTCGCATACTGACTGGATATTTAGGCGATCACGTTTGTTTATTTGTCGAATGAAATGTCGCAAATCCTACAACATGACGTTGTGACCAAGAGCTAGAACAGAGGCATCTTATTAAATCATCTACTCAGATACAAAATCCAACGCTCTTCAGCGTTTTCGCTTTGCGTGCAACCTCTCTCCCTAAGCGCTGTAATGAGACAAACTTTGCGATCATTCCAAAGTTAGAGAATATGTTTCACGCTCCCTTATCCACTTCAAACACCGTTGTACCTTGATTCAGATTTACAGCGACAATTGACAATAACAACGTTTCCGCAAGAAATGCAGCCATTCCATCGTGTTAACATATAACCAATGCCATTGCAAATATGAAGCAGCGAGGATCTAGCATTCAAGTTACCCAGTGGATTTGATGCTGGTTTACTCATTTAAGACTTAG